ATCTCCTGCCCTCAGCCTCTCATTAGCTGGATCTTTACAGCAGTTTTTCGCCACCTTTTAGCCTGTCTTAATTTTTTTGTATAGAGTTTTTAGTGGCCAATTATATTCTTTCTATTTTATGGATAGATCGGGGTCCACTCTTGCTCAGTGCTTGGTTTTGAACTTTCTTCTTGACTTTTTTGTTGATGTCATATTTTCCGCTGCGCTGGCCATCCCCAGAAGCTAGGATTACAGGGTGAGCCCCGCGCCCCGCTCTTCTGCTTCTTTAGAATTTGTTCAAGTCCTTTGCCCACTTTTATGGGTTATTATTTTTTCTTCGATTGTCGTCGAGTTTCTAAGTTATTCAGTTTCATCCTTATCCGAATGCATAGGATGCAAAATTTTCTCCCATTCTGTAGGTTATCGTTTACTTTCATGACTATTAATCATTTGGCTGTGCAGAAGCTTTGTAGATTTATCATTCCCATTTATTTTTTTATATGTTTTCTGCTGATGATTGCTGTATTTATCGAAGATACTTTTCTCATTAACTCGTTCTCTAGGCATTCTAGGAGTAGTGTTCCAACTTTTTCCTCTAGAATTCTAATATTCATACCTTAATGGTTTAAGTCTGTTATCTCAGCGTGAGTTTATTTTGTGAGAGGTAAAGGTGTGTCCTGTTTAAGCCTTTTCCTAATACAGGTTGGCTTAGTCCCAGTTTTCCAAGACCATTTTATTGAAAATGGGATTTTCCTCAGCGTATGTTTTTGTCTGTTTGTCAAGATTATTGCTATATAGGTACTGGTTTTTATATCAGGATTCTCCTACATCTGTTCCACTGTTACATTCCATTGTGCCAATTACTAGATTGTTTGTAATTACTACGATGCTTAGTACTTAGTTTGCTATTGGCATATTATCATGCCTCCCAATTTGCTTTTTGTTGCTAGATTGCTTTTGATATTCAGGGTCTTTCTCTTGGTTCCATACAAAGCGAAAATTTTTCTTTCTAATATCGTGAGATGCTGATGCGGATTTAATAGGTTATCATTGAATCTGTAATCAGTTCGGGCGTAGCATAGACATTTTAATGATTTGAGTATGTTGATCCACAAGCATGGAATGGATTCATCGTTTACTCCTCTGCTATTTCCTTCCCAGTGTTCTCAGAATCTCCCTGTAGGGAGGTCTTTACTCCCTTGGTTAAGTATATTCCTGAGCGTACTTGTATTTCTTGTTGCTATTGTGAGGAATTGAGTCTTTGATTTGGTCTCAATTCGATTCGTTGTTGCATATATGTAAATGCCTCTGATTTCTGTGGTATTTGATTTTGTATCCTGAGAATTTATAAATTCATTGATCAGTTCCGCAGGAGTTTCCTTTGGTTGACATCTTGGTTTTCTAGATATATATCATGATCATCAGCCAAA